CCTTTGGATGCAGCCCAGGATATGGTTGGCTTTCTGGGCTGCAAGCGCACACTGCCGGCCCATGTTCATTTTCTCATCAACCAACACCCCCAAGTCCTTCTCTGCAGAGCTACTCTGAATCTCTTCTCTGCCCAACCTGTAGCTGTGCCTGGGATTGCTGCGACCCAGGTGTAGGACCTTGCACTTGGCATGGTTAAACCTCATGAGGTTGGCATCAGCCCACCTCACAAGAGTGCCAAGGTCCCTCTGGATGGCATTCCTTCCCTCCAGGGTATCAACCGAACCACACAGCTTGGTGTCATCGGCAAACTTGCTGAGGGCGCACTCAATCCCACTGTCCATGTCAGCAATGAAGATGTTAAACAAACCCGGTCCCAACACCGATCCCTGAGGGACGCCACTCGTTACTGGCCTCCAGCTGGACATTGAGCCATTGACCACAACACTTTGCGTGCGGCCATCCAGCCAGTTCTTTATCCACCGAGTGGTCCATCCATCAAATTGATGTCTCTCCAATTTAGAGACAAGGATGTCGTGAGGGATAGTGTTGAACGCTTTACACAAGTCCAGGTAGATGACATCAACTGCTCTACCCCTGTCTATCAGTTCTGTGGCCCCATCATAGAAGGCCACCAAATAGGTCAGGCAGGATTTCCCCTTAGTGAAGCCATGCTGGCTGTCACCAAGCACCCTGTTGATTTTCATGTGCCTTAGCATGCCTTCCAGGAGAATCTGCTCCAAGATTTTGCTAGGCACAGAGGTGAGACTGACTGCTCTGTAATTCCCTGGGTGATCCATTTTCCCCTTCTTGAAAATGGGGGTTATATTTCCCTTTTTCCAGTTGTCGGGAACTTCACCTGACTGCCATGATTTCTCAAATGTGATGGCCAGCGGCTTCACAACTTCATTCGTCAGCTCCTTCAGGACCCTCAGATGGATCTCATCAGGACCCATGGACTTGTGCACATTCAGATTTTTAAGATGGTCTCAAACCAGTTCCTCTCCTACAGTGGGCACAAGGTCTTCATTCTCACAGTCCCTGCATCTGCCTTCCAAGACTTGGGTGGTGTGGTCAGAGCCTTTGCCAGTGAAGACCGAGGCAAAGAAGTCGTTCAGAACCTCAGCCTTCTGCAAATCCTGTGTAGCCAGTTCTCCTGAGAGCTTCCTGAGGGGGCCTACATTCTCCCTAGTCTGTCTTTTATTTGATACATACCTGTAGAATCCCTTCCTGTTATCTTTAATTCCTCTAACTAAGTTTAATTCTAACTGAGCCTTTGCTTTCCTAACCTGGTCCCTAGCTTCCCAGACAACATCCCTGTACTCTTCCCAGGCCGCCTGTCCTTGCTTCCACTTATTATAAGGCCTCTTTTTCCATTTGAATTTTCCTCAGGAGCTCCTTATTCATCCAATCAGGTCTCCTGGCCCTCCTGCTGCACTTCCTTCTGGTTGGGATGCAACATTCCTGAGCTTGTAGCTGGTGATCCTTGAATAAGTACGTCCAGGTTTCTATCGACCTTTGGAGACCTTTATAGATATTGCTGGCCACTTCTTCCAACATAGGCTGGCCACCTGTGTTGGAATGAGTGTGCATTTTGGTCAGTATAAAAGCCCAAGCCTCATGCTCTGTGGGGGAGGCAGAGCCTCTGCAGGGATGCCGGCTAAGGTTGAGCCTGCCACCTCGCACTGCAGTGATGCTTCTCGGAGCTGGTTTCCTGTTAGTCTCCACAGGGTCCTTGTGCCACGTTCTGTACATGGGACTGTAGTGGGAATAACGATTGTCTGGATTTTGTGCTTCAAATATTGTAGTTGTGTGGAGCGTGCTTGTGGGATCCCATACATATGTGTGTGTGTGTGTTGAGGGCAGACGGTGTTCTGTGTATTTTTTTGTTGTTGTTGTTGGGTTCATGTAAAAGTTTTTAACGGGTAGCAATTTAACATTTCGGGCATGAAAGGGTTAATGCAAAAGTGCGGCTGCTGGGAGGTATTAATGGTTGCTGCTGAAGCAGGCAGGCTGCTGTAGCTGCTGCCGAGCAGGCCGGCGTTTGTAGGGTGAGCGACTTTGGATTAAAAAAAAAAAAAGCAATGATGAATGATGCAGCAAACTCCTGGCCAGTTAACAATGTGCAGTTTAACCTGTCTACTTCTCAAGAACTGATAACCTGGGGGAGGGGGTATATTTGTGTCCTAATGACTACAGGTCCATGGCAACTGACTGCAAAGTTTGTCAAGCCTTGCCATGAGCTGGACAGACGAATGGAAAAACCTGATGCCTCAGCTACAGGAGCTGACCGTGAATACCCCAAGCAGAATGAGATAGAGGAAGAGAAAAAACGAATGACTGCAAAACATCACTTGGGGGCAACTGAAAAGTAACATCCTGAATATGTGTGCTTGTAAAGTAGCTATTATTAGAGGCTGTGATTTTTGTGTATAAAACCACCTGTATTTACTAGCCAGTTGCTAGTAAGAAACTACACCTTGTATTGTATGGATTTGTCACTTGTAAAAGACATGTTAGAGTATGCAAATTTGCAGTAGCTGCTAGAAAATTCTAAGGCAAAAGATAGAAAGATTTTAATACAATGATAGTGTTATAAAGCAGGTAATAGAACAAATTAAGAGGGTGGGAGAATACCACTGGTAAGAAATTTCTTCGGCTAGTCCCTCGCTGACATCAACATCATCAACATGCTGCTGCACTCTGTAATAGTTACTCTGCTAATGTAAATTTGTGTGTGCCTTGCTGTAGTAGCGACTTGTTACTGGATGAAGCAGGTGAAACTCCGTGTTGACAACAAGGTGCAAGGACTGAGGCTGACCAAATGCCTGCTGCCACAGTCAAGGGCAAGACTGGGTTGGCCTCTGTGTTTGCCGCCAGGAAGAACCTTTAGCTCCACTGTTGGCGGTGGGGACACATGCCATGCCAGACCTTGATGTGAAGGATGGCATCCCCTGTTACCAGAGAGCCATACAGGAGAAAAAAGGGGCAGGCCCAGCAGCCTGTAGTTGGCATATGTTGGAGATATGATCTAGGCCAAATCCCCTGCTCAAGTAGAGTCACCCAAAACATATATAAAACAAAAAGCGGGAGATGTGGAGGCAGTGTTCTCACAGGAGAATGGATAATTGGTACATAAACTCTGAATAATCCTGAAAGATACAGCAAAGCCATGAGAGGCCCAAGGAAGCCTAAACAAGCAAGATAAGAAGAAGCTGGAATTCACCAAGTTAATAAGAACTGTGGACTGTTGGCAAGCTTTTGAGGTCAATTTCTCACACCTGTGCTTAACCAATTTTATGTTAGTCACTAAGGGTCTTCAAGACATGTATCCAATCACAATATGCCAAATCACTGTATGTGCATTTAAGAAATACTATAAAAGGAGTTACGGATTTTTAAAAAATGGCTTTTGTCTGATCATATTGATCTCTCACTGAGAACATATATTTTCTGCGGCACGGAGTTAGGGGGGGAGGGGGGCACTGAGAACGGTCCCTGTCAGGCAGGAGGCATCGGGCTGCCACTAGGACCCCGTTGCGGGAGGCAGCGGGCTGGCGCTAGGATCCTGATACCGGAGCTGGCGGGGGGGGCGGCACTGGGACCGGTCCCTGCCAGGCAGGAGGCAGCGGGCGGGCACTAAAACCCGGTTGCGGTAGGCAGCGGATGGGCACTAGGACCCTGATACCGGCGCTATAGGGGGGCGGGCCCTGGGACCGGCTCCTGACAGGTAGGAGGCAGCGGGGGGCACTAGGACCCTGATGCGGGAGGCATCGGGCTGGCACTAGGACACCGTTGAGGGAGGCAGCGGGCGGGCACTAGGACCCTGATACCGGGGCTATGTAGCGCTGAGGGTGCTGGGGGGTTCTGTGGGTGCTGGGGTTTCTCTAGGTGCTAGGATGACTGGGTGCCCTGGAGCTGTTGTGGTTGCTGGCAGTGGTGGGGGTGGTATGGGTGCAGTGCATAGTATGGGTGCTGTGGGCTCCAAGAGGACACAGGGAGGGCAGGAGGACACTCACTGCTCTGTGTGGTGGCCGGACAGCCCCTGCAGAGGGCTGTTTCCTCCAAGCCTCGGCTGCTTCAGTCCCAGCCGCAGATCTGCCCGATGGGATGCTCCAGGGCTGCTGGTAGGCATTTCCTCTGGAGCCTGAAGCAATCACCCAAAATTCCTTACCCACCTAGCCCAGGGTTAGCCCACATGTGAGCTGAGTTTGGTCCCCAGAATGACTGAACCTGGGAAAGGAAGGGCTTTCACTAGCAAACCACAGCCCAGCACGTGCTGAGCCAGGACACGTGGACCCACTGAGCCTCTGCCGTCTGCCAGCAGGCTCAGAGTATCCCGTGAGAGCCCCAGGTTCTTCTGGGCCCTGCTCATCACCCCAAGCCCTCCTGTGCTGCCCATCCCTTCTCTCACCTTGCCCTCCGATTCCAACTGCATCTGAACAGGAAAACCAGCCTGCAGCTCCTGCTGCTCTCCATCATCCTCCCCCTCATCATCAAGGGACAAGCATGGCTTTGGCACAGCTTCCTCCAACCTACAGAAGCCAGAGAAGCAGGCACCGAGCCAGAGAAGATCCTCTGCTGAAGCACCATTTTGCATGAGAAGTCTTGGGATGGATCAAACACAAGATTGGGCCTTTGCAACCCAGCTTCCCTTGGGGCTTGTGTGCTCTGCTCCAGCAGGTTCAGAACTGAACCCAGCCGCAGTCGAGATGATGCTACACACCAGCAGCTCCTCTGCTTCCTGACAGGCACTAGGCTCTCACCAGCACTAAAACCCTGCAGGCTCCTTGACACAGGGGACACCAGGAGGTCACACACAAAAGCTCTGTTGCTCCTTTCACCCCAGCCTCATCTGGGCAGCTCCACTGGGCTCACGCTGGACGGAGCCTGTGGCCCTGCTGCCTGGTTCTGTGCCACTCGGGCACCATCCTCATAAGCACGAAGCTTTGCCTGCAGCTCTGCCACCTGCAAGGAGGGATCTTCTGTTGCTCAGATGGTTTTATGACCCCTGGAGCTCAGAGGTTTGCATCCCAAACAGACCACAGCTAAAGACAGAGCCCTGTCCTCCCCACCAGCATCTCCCCTTCCCTTTCAGCTGCTCACACATTTCCACATATCCACAGAGGTGGGAGTCAGAGCTGCACGTGCTGCTCTTCAGCTGCAGAGGCAGGGACGAGACAGAGGTTAAAGAAGCACTGGGGCAGCACATACCCTCTCCTGACACCGGAGCAGGGCAGCTCTTCAGCCTCCTCCAGGATGCAGGGTCCCCATGGAGCCCTGGGCTGGCTGCAGCAGACACAATCTGTTTTCAGGGACCTATTGCCACAGTCACAAGCCTTTTTAGGCTTGGGGCTGGGGAGCTTTAGCAGAAGTCTGGGCACACACTGTCTGCAGCTCCGTCAGCTGCTTTCTGCCCAGAGCAGCACCCCCAGGACTGGAAAACTCACGCTGGAGAAGGGAGGCTCCCACTCATCTACCCCAGCATGCAGCAGACTCCCTCCCATCCAGCAGCAGCTCCCAAACACACACAACAAACACATCACCCCCACCACATGAGCTCCTCACCGACAGCTTGATCTCCTTGGCTCTGCTGGCATACTTGAGCGTGTTGTAGGTGTCCTCATAGGCCAGCACAGAGGGGCTCACCGCCGCCACCATGACGCTGCGGCAGTTGCCACCCAGGCAGTCCTTCAGCAGGCGCGTCAGCTTGCTGTCCCGGTACGGGATGTGGCTTTTCTTGCCCTGGATCAAGAGAGCCAGGATCTGCTCAGCTTTTGGCCCCCGGGCACTCAGCTCCTACCCCTGAGTCACAAGGGGATGGCTGCGCTCACCCCACAGCACCAGCAGCACTGAAACTTGAGGACACCGCTCACATTCAGCCGGCCCAGGGAGCCAGAGCCCAGCAGGGCCATGTGGGAAACAGCATTACCTTTGCATCAGCCAAGGCGTTGATGACGTTGATGAGGGCCAGCAGCGAGCGGTTGATGTTGGCCCCCTCCCGCAGCCGCTCTCCCCTGCTGTTGGCAACCGACGCTCGCTCTGAGCCTGCCAGGTCCATCAGGCTCATCTTGGCCACCTTCAGACCCCGACTGAGGCTGCCAGTGCAGTCCTGCTGCTTCAAGTGGATCTGTGAGGACAGAGATGGGTGAGGCTGCAGCTCGACAAGGCACATGGGGTCGGTGGTTGGAGGAGGCTCAACAGCAGGGCAAGAGGGTGATGTTCGGAACAGGATGGCTGCCACAGAAAATACATGGACTCAGAGATCAAAAAGCCTTAACCCCTTAAATACTATTTCTAACATGCACTTACAGGGATTTGGCATATTAAGATTGGATACATGTCTTGAAGACCCTTTTCAACTAGCATATAATTGGTTAAGCACAGCTTTCGAGGTCAAGTTCCCACACCTGTGCTTAACCAATTATATGCTATTTGCAAAGGGTCTTCAAGACATGTATCCAATCTTAATATGCCAAATCCCTGTAAGTGCATGTTAGAAATAGTATTTAAGGGGTTAAGGCTTTGTAATAAACGGCTTTTGTCTGATCATATTGATCTCTGAGTCCATGTATTTTCTGTGGCAGCCATCCTGTTCCGAACATCACCCTCTTGCCCTGCTGTTGAGCCTCCTCCAACCACCGACCCCATGTGCCTTGTCGAGCTGCAGCCTCACCCATCTCTGTCCTCACAGATCCACTTGAAGCAGCAGGACTGCACTGGCAGCCTCAGTCGGGTTCTGAAGGTGGCCAAGATGAGCCTGATGGACCTGGCAGGCTCAGAGCGAGCGTCGGTTGCCAACAGCAGGGGAGAGCGGCTGCGGGAGGGGGCCAACATCAACCGCTCGCTGCTGGCCCTCATCAACGTCATCAACGCCTTGGCTGATGCAAAGGTAATGCTGTTTCCCACATGGCCCTGCTGGGCTCTGGCTCCCTGGGCCGGCTGAATGTGAGCGGTGTGCTCAAGTTTCAGTGCTGCTGGTGCTGTGGGGTGAGTGCAGCCATCCCCTTGTGACTCGGGGGTAGGTGGAGTGCCAAAGCCTGTCTCTCTTGATCCAGGGCTTGATGCCACATCCGTAGGGACAGGAGGATGACACGCCTGCTGAAGGAGCCTGGGTGGCAACTGCCGCACAGCGCCATGGTGGCGGCGGTGAGCCTCTGTGCTGGCCTATGAGGACACCTAAAACACACTCAAGTGTGCCAGCAGAGCCAAGGAGAGAAGGGATGAGGACTCCATGTGGTGGGTGATGTGTTTGTTGTGTGTGTTGGGAGCTGCTGCTGGATGGGAGGGAGTCTGCTGCATGCTGGGGTAGAGAGTGGGGACCTCCAGCGTGAGTTTTCCATCCTGGGGTGCTGCTCTGGGCAGAAAGCAGCTGACGGAGCTGCAGACAGTGTGTGCCCAGACTTCTGCTAAAGCTCCCCAGCCCCAAGCCTGAAAAGGCTTGTGCTGTGGCAATAGGTCCCTGAAAACAGATTGTGTCTGCCAGGCTCATGGGGACCCTGCTCCTGGAGGAGCTGAAGAGCTGCCCTGCTCCGGTGTCAGGAGAGGGTATGTGCTGCCCCAGTGCTTAACCTCTGTCTCCAGTCCCTCCTCTGCAGCTGAAGAGCAGCACGTGGGCTGACTCCCACCTCTGTGGATATGTGGAAATGTGTGAGCAGCTGAAAGGGAGATGCTGGTGGGGAGGACAGGGGCTCTGTCTTTAGCTGTGGTCCAGGGATGCAAACCTCTGAGCTCCAGGGGTCATAAAACCATCTGAGCAACAGAAGATCCCTCCTTGCAGGTGGCAGAGCTGCAGGCAAAGCTTCGTGCTTATGAGGATGGTGCCCGAGTGGCACAGAACCAGGCAGCAACAGGCCCTCTGAGCCCAGTGGAGCTGCCCAGGTGGCTGGGGTGAAAGGAGCAACAGAGCTTTTGTGTGTGACCTCCTGGTGCCCCTGTGTCAAAGGAGCCTGCAGGGTTTTAGTGTGGTGAGAGCCTAGTGTGTCAGGAAGCAGAGAAGCTGCTGGTGTGTGTATCATCTGATTGCAACCCCACCGAACCTGCTGGAGCAGAGCACACAAGCCCAAGGGAAGCTGCAAAGGCCCAATCTTGTGTTTGATCCATCCCAAGACTTCTCATGCAAAATGGTGCTTCAGCAGAGGATCTTCTCTGGCTCGGTGCCTGCTTCTCTGGCTTCTGTAGGTTGGAGGAAGCTGTGCCAAAGCCATGCTTGTCCCTTGATGATGAGGGGGAGGATGATGGAGAGCAGCAGGAGCTGCAGGCTGGTTTTCCTGTTCAGATGCAGTTGGAATCGGAGGGCGAGGTGAGAGAAGGGATGGGCAGCACAGGAGGGCTTGGGGTGATGAGCAGGGCCCAGAAGAACCTGGGGCTCTCACGGGATACTCTGAGCCTGCTGGCAGACGGCAGAGGCTCAGTGGGTCCACGTGTCCTGGCTCAGCACGTGCTGGGCTGTGGTTTGCTAGTGAAAGCCCTTCCTTTCCCAGGTTCAGTCATTCTGGGGACCAAACTCAGCTCACATGTGGGCTAACCCTGGGCTAGGTGGGTAAGGAATTTTGGGTGATTGCTTCAGGCTCCAGAGGAAATGCCTACCAGCAGCCCTGGAGCATCCCATCGGGCAGATCTGCGGCTGGGACTGAAGCAGCCGAGGCTTGGAGGAAACAGCCCTCTGCAGGGGCTGTCCGGCCACCACACAGAGCAGTGAGTGTCCTCCTGCCCTCCCTGTGTCCTCTTGGAGCCCACAGCACCCATACTATGCACTGCACCCATACCACCCCCACCACTGCCAGCAACCACAACAGCTCCAGGGCACCCAGTCATCCTAGCACCTATAGAAACCCCAGCACCCACAGAACCCCCCAGCACCCTCAGCGCTACATAGCCCCGGTATCAGGGTCCTAGTGCCCGCCCGCTGCCTCCCTCAACGGTGTCCTAGTGCCAGCCCGCCGCATCAGGGTCCTAGTGCCCCCCGCTGCCTCCTACCTGTCAGGAGCCTCCCGCCCCCCTATAGCGCCGGTACCAGGGTCCTATGCCCATCCCCCGCCGGGTTTTAGTGCCCGCCTCCTCCTGTGAGAGTGCCGCCCCGATACGCCAGCCCGCTGCCTCCGCAATATGCAGCCCGATGCCTCCTGACAGCCTCAGAAAATATATGTTCTCAGTGAGAGATCAATATGATCAGACAAAAGCCATTTTTTAAAAATCCGTAACTCCTTTTATAGTATTCCTTAAATGCACATACAGTGATTTGGCATATTGTGATTGGATACATGTCTTGAAGACCCTTAGTGACTAACATAAAATTGGTTAAGCACAAGTGTGAGAAATTGACCTCAAAAGCTTGCCAACAGTCCACAGTTCTTATTAACTTGGTGAATTCCAGCTTCTTCTTATCTTGCTTGTTTAGGCTTCCTTGGGCCTCTCATGGCTTTGCTGTATCTTTCAGGATTATTCAGAGTTTATGTACCAATTATCCATTCTCCTGTGAGAACACTGCCTCCACATCTCCCGCTTTTTGTTTTATATATGTTTTGGGTGACTCTACTTGAGCAGGGGATTTGGCCTAGATCATATCTCCAACATATGCCAACTACAGGCTGCTGGGCCTGCCCTTTTTTTCTCCTGTATGGCTCTCTGGTAACAGGGGAGGCCATCCTTCACATCAAGGTCTGGCATGGCATGTGTCCCCACTCCCAACAGTGGAGCTAAAGGCTCTTCCTGGCGGCAAACACAGAGGCCAACCCAGTCTTGCCCTTGACTGTGGCAGCAGGCATTTGGTCAGCCTCAGTCCTTGCACCTTGTTGTCAACACGGAGTTTCACCTGCTTCATCCAGTAACAAGTCGCTACTACAGCAAGGCACACACAAATTTACATTAGCAGAGTAACTATTACAGAGTGCAGCAGCCTGTTGATGATGTTGATGTCAGCGAGGGACTAGCCGAAGAAATTTCTTAACAGTGGTATTCTCCCACCCTCTTAATTTGTTCTATTACCTGCTTTATAACACTATCATTGTATTAAAATCTTTCTATCTTTTGCCTTAGAATTTTCTAGCAGCTACTGCAAATTTGCATACTCTAACATGTCTTTTACAAGTGACAAATCCATACAATACAAGGTGTAGTTTCTTACTAGCAACTGGCTAGTAAATACAGGTGGTTTTATACACAAAAATCACAGCCTCTAATAATAGCTACTTTACAAGCACACATATTCAGGATGTTACTTTTCAGTTGCCCCCAAGTGATGTTTTGCAGTCTTTTGTTTTTCTCTTCCTCTATCTCATTCTGCTTGGGGTATTCACAGTCAGCTCCTGTAGCTGAGGCATCAGGTTTTTCCATTCGTCTGTCCAGCTCATGGCAAGGCTTGACAAACTTTGCAGTCAGTTGCCATGGACCTGTAGTCATTAGGAACAAATATACCCCCTCCCCAGGTTATCAGTTCTTAGAAGTCAGACAGGTTAAACTAGCATATTTAACTGGCCAGGAGTTTGCTGCATAATTCATCATTGCTTTTTTTTTTTTAATCCAAAGTCACTCACCCTACAAACGCCGGCCTGCTCGGCAGCAGCTACAGCAGCCTGCTGCTTCAGCAGCAACCATTAATACCTCCCAGCAGCAGCCTTTTTCATTAACCCTTTCATGCCCGAAATGTTAAATTGCTACCCGTTTAAAAACTTTTACATGAACCCAACAACAACAAC